GGGTTTTAGGGGGGAGGAAAATTGTTGAGCTTTTTTTTTTAGGGGTGCCACAGTTGTTCAGCTTCTTTGGGGGAAGCCAATGATCTACCAGTGATCTGCTGCAGGCGTCCAGTGATCTACCTGTAGATCACGATCTATCTGTTGGACATTAATAATATAAATAATAATAATAATAATAATAATAATAATAATAATAATAATTTATTTGTACCACGCCCATCTGGCTGAGTTTCCCCAGCCACTCTGGGCAGCTTCCAACAAAGATGAAAGATACACTAAAATGTCACATATTAAAAACTTCCCTGAACAGGGCTGCCTTCAGATGTCTTCTGAATGTCAGGTAGTTGTTTATCGCTTTGACATCTGATGGGAGGGCGTTCCACAGGACGGGCGCCACTACGAGAAGGCCCTCTGCTGGTTCCCTGTAACTTGGCCTCTCGCAGTGAGGGAACCGCCAGAAGGCCCTCGGAGCTGGACCTCAGTGTCCGGGCAGAACGATGGGGGTGGAGACGCTCCTTCAGGTATACTGGACCAAGGCTGTTTAGGGCTTTAAAGGTCAGCACCAACACTTTGAATTGTGCTCGGAAACGTACTGGGAGCCAATGTAGGTCTTTCAAGACCGGTGTTATATGGTCTCGCGGCCGCTCCCAGTCACCAGTCTAGCTGCCGCATTCTGGATTAGTTGTAGTTTCCGGGTCACCTTCAAGGTAGCCCCACGTAGAGCGCATTGCAGTAGTCCAAGCGGGAGATAACCAGAGCATGCACCACTCTGGCGAGACAGTCTGCAGGCAGATAGGGTCTCAGCCTACGTACCAGATGGAGCTGGTAAAACAGCTGCCCTGGATACAGATTTAACCTGTGCCTCCATGGACAGCTGTGAGTCCAAAATGACTCCCAGGCTGCGCACCTGGTCCTTCAGTTACCCCATTCAGGACCAGGGAATCCTCCACACCTGCCCGCCTCCTGTCCCCCCAAAACAGTACTTCTGTCTTGTCAGGATTCAACCTCAATCTGTTAGCCACCATCCATCCTCCAACCGCCTCCAGGCACTCACACAGGACCTTCACCGCCTTCACTGGTTCTGATTTAAAAGAGAGGTAGAGCTGGGTATCATCCGCATACTGATGAACACCCAGCCCAAACCTCCTGATGATCTCTCCCAGTGGCTGCATGTAAATGTTGAAAAGCATGGGGGAGAGGACAGAACCCTGAGGCACCCCCACAAGTGAGAGCCCAGGGGTCTGAACACTCATCCCCCACCACCACTTTCTGAACACGGCCCAGGAGGAAGGAGCGGAACCACTGTATGACAGTGCCCCCAGCTCCCAGCCCCTCAAGACGGTCCAGAAGGATGTTATGGTCGATGGTATCAAACGCCGCTGAGAGATCCAGCAGAACCAGGAAACAGCTCTCACCTTTGTCCCTAGCCCGCCGGAGATCATCAACCAGTGCGACCAAGGCCAGTTTCAGTCCCATGATGAGGCCTGAATCCTGACTGGAAGGGATCCAAATGGTCTGCTTCTTCCAGGCGTGCCTGGAGTTGTTCAGCAACCACTCGCTCAGTCACCTTGCCCAAGAATGGAAGATTTGAGACTGGGCGATAATTGGCCATCGTGGCCGCATCTAAAGATGATTTCTTAAGAAGCGGTTTAATAACCGCCTCTTTCAGCGGGTCTGGGAAGGCTCCCTCACGGAGGGAAGCATTCACCACCCCACGAAAAACTGAGGCTCTCCACACTCCATTGCAGCAGAAGATGTCTGGGGATGGTCAGGTGTCTCTGAGCAGAGCAGCATCTTACAGAGGAGGTGGTGCTAACCATTAGGCTGCCCCTGATGTTATTACTGCTGCTATATAAGGGCTTGGGCTTCAGTGTGCTCCTTGCTGGAGCTACTGCAAAGCTCTGGATTTCCCAGAGGACACACTGAGCCTTGCCTCAAGCTTCGTGTCAGTCTGAATCCTCACTTGCCTTGCCTTCCCCCCTGAACCAGTCTTACAGTCTGCTTGGACCTTGCCTTGCTGCACTGCAAAGCGCAACAGCGCCCCCACCTGGAAGGCTATTGCTGCTGCCCCCTCCCATGCAATTGGCATCAGGACCACAATCCCTCAAGGACCGCCTTGCCCCATTTGAAACCGACCCGGATCCTGCAATCATCAACCGAGGCCCTTCTTCGTGTGCCTCCTCCACGAGAGATCCAAAGGGTGGCAACACGAGAACGGGCCTTTTCTGTGGTGGCTCCCTGTTTGTAGAATGCTATCCCCAGGGAGGCTCGTCAGACACCTTCATTACATATCTTTAGGTGAATGGTGTCCTGTGGCTTAAACAGCAGGAGGCCAGACACGACTCTCCTGCTTGTCTTTGTTCACAACGCTGCAGATAGGAGCAGAGCCATCGTCGCTCAGTGCTACTGAGACCCATCCAGCAGGGTCAGTCCAGAAGGATACTATAGCCAGTGGTTCTGAAGGCCACTGAGAGATTGAGCAGCAGCAGCAGCATGGCACTCCTCCTGTCCTTCCATCTTGGACTACTGCAAAGCGCTCTAAGTGGGGCTACCTTTAAAGGTGACCCAGAAACTGCAACTAATCCAGAATGCAGCAGCTAGACTGGTGACTGGGAGTGGCCACCAGGACCATACAACACCGGTCCTGAAAGACCTACATTGTCTCCCGGTACATTTCCGAGTGCAAATCAAAGTATTGGTGCTGACCTTTAAAGCCCTAAATGGCCTCGGCTCAGTATACCTGAAGGAGTGTCTCCACCCCCATTGTTCTGCCTGGACACTGAGGTCCAGCGCCGAGGGCCTTTTGGCAGTCCTCTCACTGCGAGAAGTGAGGTTATAGGGAACCAGGCAGAGGGTCTTCTTGGTAGTGGTGCTTCCCTTGTGGAACACCCTCCCTTCAGATGTCAAGAAAATAAACATCTGACTTTTAGAAGACATCTGAAGGCAGCCCTGTTTAGGGAAGCTTTTAATGTTTGATGTCTGGGAATGGTTGTGTTTTTAATATTCTGTTGGGAGCTGCCCAGAGTGGCCGGGGAAACCTGGCCAGATGGGCAGGGTATGTATGTATGTATGTATGCATAAATAAATAAGAATAAAGTTCATCCATCAGAATGACAGAGGCTGATTTGGCCCCTAGCCAGGCCTGAATCCAGGCTAGCATGGATTGAGATAGTCCGTCTCATCTGGCAATATCTGAAGCTATTCCCCCACAACCCTCTCAGTCGCCATTCCCCAGGAAGGAAGGAGGGTTCTGCAACCAGAAGATAGTAGTTACAATCCCTCGGTTGGTCTATAACCAGCTAGTTTGCTCAGAGGGCACCAAAATAAAGGAGAACCCCAGTGTCAACTGCTTTGCTCAGCGAACAATTTCTCCAGAACAGCCTCTAACAGCATTCTAAAGACAGTAACGAACGAACCAGCATTGTTATACGGGGGTGGGGGGTGGAATTATTACAGGGTCGTTTTGGAATTTCTGTGTAATCGTTGCTCAGCTTTTAAAATGCCTCCTCTGGCGAAGGTTGCCACTGAAAATTGCAGCTTAGAAAAAAACAGCCGTGCCTAAGATAGGAAAGTTTTTTAAATTAACAGCATGCGGCAGCTTTAGGAATAAGTACTCTGCTTTCTTTTTCCTCTAACATGCTGGAACGAAAATAAGTAAGTAAGTAAGTAAGTAAGTAAGTAAATAAATAAATAAATAAAAATAAACAAACACATAAATAACTTACCCAAATCTGTGTGATTACTCATCCAGCCAATCGCTGTAATAGACACCAAAGCCAGAAGCCCTGATCCAACAAAAGACCCAATTCCGGAAAAAAAGAAAAAGAGACCCATAATCGCACTCTGCATAGATTTGGGAGCAGCAGAATATGCAAATTCCAGACCTGGAACAAAAGAACAAATGGGGAGAGGCATGAAGGCAAATTCTATCCATTATTTTGGGGAACATTTTTTCACGAGTATAAAGGCCATGAAGACACGGGCTCCAAACCTGTGGACTCACAATTATTATTCATCACACATTATTTGTAATGTTTATAGCACATTCTAAGACAGTGAGCGAGAGATATAATTACAGGTTTATTTGTATCAGCCCCAGCAAGCATGGCCAACAACCAGGGGTGACTGGAGTTGTAGTTCAGTAAGCATCTGGAACGTCAAAGGTTCCCCACACCTGATTTACATCATAAAAGGCTACTGTGAAGCATGTTAAACACTATGCTATAGAATGTAAAACTTAAGAACCAAAACCCTTTGGTTTAAGGGTTTAAACCTCACATAAAAGATGGAAGGGGTAAGTTAAGGCAACTGCCTTAACTGCCATGTAGACATTGCTTTGATTACACACACTTACAACTCAGCCTCTGTGCACCTATGTCTCTTCCTTTGCATGAAGGAATGCTCCTAGTAATATGCAGAATGCACAGCCCTCCATAGAGGCTTTCAAAACATCAGCCTGACCTTACATCAGCCCCGAACCCCAACTTTTGTTCAACTTAGGGGTTTTTTTTAGGGAAGGCTCATGCCATTGTTTCTGACAATTGGATAAGCTTGCTGGAGAAGTTGAGAGTCCAACGGCATCTTGGAAGGACGCAGATTCCCCATCACTGCTCTGCAACTGCAGCAAGATTATCCAGGTGCCTCTGACTTTGCAAACAGGATTGCAGACGAAAGACGATGGCTGCATTTCTAAAAGCCTCAGAAGTTGAGCTCGTATTGCTGGATAAAAGCCTGCTATAAACAGAGCCTGGTTTCTACTCCGTACGAAATCTGGGCTCTTTGTGCAAAGGAAAGGACACGTGCGTTTCAAAGCAAGGAATGTGTCATAATTGCTGCAATTCAACTTATTATGCAAATTGAAGGGCTTAACGGAACAGCGCAATGGAGAGCCCCATCAAAACATTCAGCACTCCGCCACTCTCCCAGAATATCCAACCAAAGCGTTCGACAATCTGCCACTCTCCCAGAATATCTGACTCCCATCTCTGAGGTGCTGAGCTTCTCATTCTTTGCCTTTTAGCTCAGAAAACCACCAGAAGATTGAAACAAAAGCTTTGTAGAGCAACTGGAAGAGGGGTGGACAAATGTCAAAAAGCAATTAAGAGCGGCAGGGAGTCTCCAGTTCAAACACGAACTCTTGTGTTTTATCCCAGCACTCCGGCTGCAGAGGATTCGAAAGCGGAAGCATGTTGCATGCTGGAAGAAAACTTAAAATAACTACGCAGGCTGCCAGACAGTTTTCCAAGCACAATTCAAAAGCACCGGTGCCTACTTTTAAAATCCACCCTGCAAAAAGGTGGGACAAGCTTTCTATTTCTGGGGTCGGCATTAGGGAGAAGTTTCTGATTCTAAGAGCTGTTTGACAGTGGGACGGGCTCCCTCGGAAGGTGGACTCTCCTTCATTTGAGGTTTTTATACAGAGGTGGGATGACCATACGCCGGTGATTATTTAGCTGCGATTCCTGCATTTTAGGGAATTGGACGAGATGACCCCAGGGGGGTCATTTCGAGTTTAACAGTTACAGTCATACCTTGGGTTACAGCCGCTTCAGGTTGTGTTTTTTCAGGTTATGGACTGCCGAAACCTGGAAGTACCGGAACAGGTTACTTCCGGGTTTCGGGGGTCACGCATGTGCAGATGCGCTAAATCGCACTTTGAACATGCGCAGAAGTGCCAAATTGCAACCCACACGTGCACGACCCCCAAAACCCGGAAGTAACCCGCATGGATCACGTCCGCAACCCGAGCGTCCACTGTATTTGATTCTATATGCTTCTTTAACAGAACTTCAAGGTCCACCACCAACAACATAGGAAACTGCCCTATACAGAGTCAGGCCATTGTTTCCATTTGGCTCAGTACGGCCAGGAAATTCCCTGTGTTGCAAAAACAGAAAACTCTAAACAACCACAAGCATCATGCGGCTAATAATGATCTAACAAAATATTATTAACGTTATACTGTTTCACAGTTCATAAGCAGAAAATATGTCATCCTTGCATAAAGTCACTAGTAATCAGAGTCAAATAAATGTTCCATGCACAGAATCAGAAAGTGAGATCAGTCAGTATCAAAACACGCTGAGATGAAGGCAAATTGTCTTTCAACAGTCAAAATCCTACAGAAGTGCAGTGATGAGGGCTCCAAGTGTAGAACAGTTTTTCCGGATAACGAACTGTTTCAATAATGATTCTTCGTCAGCAAATAAGTTGCCCCTGCAGGTACTTCAAATAGCAGTGGATCAGCAATCACTTAACAGTGTAGTAAGCTGAGGGTATGGTTCAGAGAGAGACCGGCTTTAAAAGGGATTTAGACGAAGTCTTGGAGCGTAAGGCTATCGGTGGCCACAAGCCTCAATCGCTGTCTTCTGCTTCCGCCGTGGGAGGCAGTATGCCTCTGAATGCCACTTGCATTGGAGAGGAAGTTGTTGCACCCAGCTCTAAATAATGGAAGGCCCTGCAACATCTACATCGTCTCACATATAAAGATGATCCAGCATTGAAGATGGGAAGGTGTACCATGGGAACAGATTGGGCCACATGCTCCCTGTGGACTCTTTGTGCAGCGCCAAATGCCAGTTTTAGAGCCTTGCGATGACAAGCTTGAGATGTGGTTTCTTCCCATTTATTGTAGCTCATCGGGTGCAGAGGGCAGTCAGGAAATAGCAAGAGATCTGTTGTGAATGGCAAAGTGGCAAACCAGCTGCCTAAGCAACAGCGCCATCTCCACTTGAGATTCTCAGCAACTGGTATCCAGCAATTTACTGTCTCCAGCACTGCATCGCCATTACGGTTTGTAGTCACCGCCCAGTAATAATAATAATAATAATAATAATAATAATAATAATAATTTATTATTTGTACCCCGCCCATCTGGCTGGGTTTCCCCAGACACTCTGGGCGGCTTCCAACAAAGATTAAAAATACATTAAAATGTCACACATTAAAAACTTCCCTGAACAGGGCTGCCTTCAGATGTCTTCTAAATGTCAGGTAGTTGTTTATCTCTTTGACATTTGGTGGGAGGGCGTTCCACAGGGCGGGCGCCACTACCGAGAAGGCCCTCTGCCTGGTTCCCTGTAGCTTTGCTCCTCAAGGTGAGGGAACCGCCAGAAGGCCCTCGGAGCTGGACCTCAGTGTCTGGGCAGAACGACGGGGGTGGAGACGCTCCTTCAGGTATACTGGACCCAAGTCATTTAGGGCTTTCAAGGTCAGCACCAACACTTTGAATTGTGCTCGGAAACGTACTGGGAGCCAATGTAGGTCTTTCAAGACCGGTGTTATGTGGTGTCGGCGGCTGCTCCCAGTCACCAGTCTAGCTGTCACATTCTGGATTAGTTGCAGTTTCCGGGTCACCTTCAAAGGTAGCCCCACGTAGAGCGCATTGCAGTAGTCCAAGCGAGAGATAACTAGAGCATGCACCACTCTGGCAAGACAGTCCACAGGCAGGTAGGGTCTCAGCCTGCGTACCAGATGGAGCTGGTAGACAGCTGCCCTGGATACAGAACTGACCTGCGCATCCATGGACAGCTGTGAGTAAGGGCATTAAGATGAGGAAACAAAACCTGGTTGGTTTTTCTCACAGCCGGATGGTGCTCAGCGTGTGGTAACACGCAGGTGAGCTTTTCCACTGAAGGTTGGCTTTTCCATTCCTGCAGAATGCCTCCAGGCTAAAAGACGATAGGCCCATCAGTATTGGCATTTCGTCAGCTCTTGAAGACACACCAGTTTAGGCAAGGTTTCCTCTGAACTTGACCTTCCCAATTACTTATTTTATTTATTTTCCGTACAATTTTTATTAGTTTTTCCTTTTATAAACACAACAAATCCAACCTTGCAATTATAAGGAAATATACTCTTTGCTCTGCCGAGCTTGTGACTTCCCTCTGTCCCTTCAATTGGGTTTTTTCCCCCCAGATCTTTGCATCGCACTTCAAATTATCAATTTCTGACCTTAATATCCTTGTAGCCAACTCTATCTCTTTGGTCTGAAAAGTTTTATAGTTTATCGTTGCCGGATTTATTTCCCGCTAGTGTCCACATTTCTAAAATAATTGTTCATATACCAAATAAATTTATTCCAGTCTCTTCGAAATTTGCGACCAAAGACCCAATTACTTATTTTAATCACACTTTTAACTGTTCAATTGCTAAGCCTTTTAACAAGCTTGTTTTGTTGCAAATTTTAATCACAGATATTTTAAATATTTTCTTGGAACTGTACCATTATGTATTTTAATTATTATGGATTTTATAGTGGCTTTAAAAAAAACAAAAAACAGGCATACTTTTTCTCTTCCTTCCCTTCATTTCACCCTCACAACAACCCCTTAAGGTAGGCTAGGCTGGGAGACAGTGGCCAGTCCACACTCAACCTGACCCTTTTGGTATGAATTGTGGGATAACCTGAACAAATCCCAAGGCTAGTTTGCAGCTGAAATCGAGTGTGTGTGTGTGTGTGTGTGTGTGTGTGTGTGTATGTATATATATGTATATGTGTGTGTGTGTGTGTGTGTGTGTGTGTATATATATATATATATATATAATCTGTTTGCATTATATATATATATAATCTGTTTGCATTCTGGAAGGACAATTCTCGCTTTTTGAACTGGGATACAAAACAGAACCAAATGTTTGTCCAGAAACAACTTTAAAAAGACATGTGGTATAACTCTGCAGCGTAATATACCCACCACATTTAACAGGGCCTCTTTGAGTTTTTGTAAGCAGAAATATAAAAATATGTATAAATATTAAAAAGCAAAGCGACAGGGGCTGAAATTCCTGAGGACAGAACAGTTTTTTTCCACATTTTCTTTCTGCGGCGAAGAGGATCTAAAATCCTGCCACCTAGTGGCTTCACTGTAGAACTACTGAGAGAAAAAGTTAACTTTTACAAGTTTCTGCCAGTATTCCCTCATGGAAGCAAATGAAGTGGCTTTTCTTCAGATCAGGCATCCAAGGAATTTTTAGGGAAGCCAAAATGCAATTCCATTGGCCGCATTTGGGGAAATGGGTAGGTGGGGAGAGCCACACATTCTCCTGGCCTTGAAATGTAATACCGCCATGGCCACTGTATGTGTTTACAGAAGTTAGCCTAATTCTACATTAATTGCTCCGGCTGCTTTTGCCCCTGGCCCTGCCCAATGGCTGCTGTGTGGCCCCCGGAAGGTCGCCCAGTAAGGAAAATGGCTCTCTGACTGAAAAATGGTTTCCAAGCCCCGATTTACGCAGCCTGAAGTGGTGTTAAATGCCTAGTGCAGATGGGGCCATCTACATTGCCCGATCTACAGATCTGTCCCTCCAAAGGCCTGCTCAAAACAACACCCTGAGGTGTTGTCCTAAAAAGTCATCTCCTAAGAAGGTCGTCTCCTAAAAAGGCAGACCATGAAGAGCTTTGGGGCATGCGAGTAACGAGTTTCTGTGGCCACCAAGTTCATATCTGCTTTGATAATAAAGATTGCGCAAGGAGGTAACACGAGCGCTCTGTTACTTCCGGGGCGCTGCAGAGCATAACCCGAAAGCGCTCAACCTGAAGCACATTCAACCCGAGGTATGACTGTACTTATTTTAAAGGTGAAGATGTACTCAATCAACGGGACATTGTTTTTATTCATCAACCAAACTAAACTTAAATGTTCAAGATTAACAACTAAACTTTACTTCTGGGGGGGTGGGGTGGCACAGAATATCAATTTTTTTGGCATTCTTTTTTTTTGGCCCATGGTGATCCTGGTGTCGAGTGTCGAGGGGGAATAAACAGGAAGAGAGAGGAGCAGAGAAAAGAGAGCAACAGTTATTAAATTCGACGTCTACGCAAAACAACATGCATGTGAAACGGAGGCACAAAGCTGGAGCTATTTCTTGCTTTGCTTTTGCTAATGAGCCCTGAATGTGTGTGAAACAGACCAGAAAATGAGATTTTACGGCCACGCTCCCTCCTCCCGTTTGTGCATTCCACGAAAAAGAAGGAGAGAAAAGAGAATAAAATCAATAGGCGCCTGTACTGCTGGACACTACATGAAACATTCAGGGGACGGAAATACTCAAGGACACTTGCCTCTTGGGCTAGAGCAGGGAATTTCAAGCTGCACACTGGCAACATCTGCAGCCTTGGGGCCATCTAACCTTTTGCCATCTGCCTTAACTGACAGTGGCTCCCAAAGTCAGCAAAAGCCTTTGCCATCACCTGATCTTTTTTAAAAAAACAGAAACAAACCTGAGGCTGCCAGGGACTGGCGCTTAGACCATGGGTAGGCAACCTAAGACCCGTGGGCTGGATCCGGCCCCATCACCTTCTCAATCCGGCCCATGGACAGTCCGGGAATCAGCGTGTTTTTACATGAGTAGAATGTGCGTTTTTATTTAAAATGCATCTCTGGGTTATTTGTGGGGCACAGGAATTCGTTCATATTTTTTCAAAATATAGTCCGGCCCCCCACAAGGTCTGAGGGACAGTGAACCGGCCCCCTGCTGAAAAAGTTTGCTGACCCCTGCCTTAGACCATGTGCCCACTAAACACATGTTCCAGCATTGAGCTACGGCCCCTCCTGTTATGAGACTCCCCTATTCCTTCCTTCCTTCCTTCCTTCCTTCCTTCCTTCCTTCCTTCCAAAGGAGCCCAGGGCGACACACAACAGGACATGGAACCTCTTAAAAGCAGTTCTAATACAGTGGTACCTCGGGTTAAGTACTTAATGTGTCCCGGAGGTCCGTTCTTAAGCTGAAACTGTTCTTAACCTGAAGCACCACTTTAGCTAATGGGGGCCTCCCGCTGCGCCACCAGAACATGGCTTCTGTTCTCATCCTGAAGCAAAGTTCTTAACCCGAGGTACTATTTCTGGGTTAGCGGAGTCTGTAACCTGAAGCGTATGTAACCCGAGGTACCACTGTACATTGTGCCAATGCAGGAAATCAACTCCTACAACATCCCTGCGAGGTGGTCACCCAACCTCCACTTAAGCAGCTCTAGAGAAAGAGAGCCCACCAAAGACCAACCCACCATCAAAGCTACTTGTGTCCCATGGGCAATCTTGCTAAGAGACAGGCTAGATCTTTCTCTTCCTCTCCCCCACCCCCTTGTAAATTGAATCCATTGGTTCGGATCCAGCACTGCACTGTCAACTGCCAAGGGGCAGGGGCAGCCCCCCGAGATGTCAGGCTGAGAATCCCCTCTCCTCACAGGTCTTACAACTTGACTGGGGTTTCCAGGGACTGAACCCTGGACCTTGATGACATCGCACAAAACAGGGCTCCAACGTTATCAACATTATTACAGTGGTACCTCGGGTTACAGATGCTTCAGGTTACAGACACTTCAGGTTACAGACTCCGCTAACCCAGAAATAGTACCTCAGGTTAAGAACTTTGCTTCAGGATGAGGACAGAAATTGTGCGACAGCGGGAGGCCCCATTAGCTAATGTGGTACCTCAGTTTCAGGTTAAGAATGGACCTCCGGAACAAATTAAGTTCTTAACCCGAGATACCACTGTATTATTATTATTATTATTATTATTATTATTATTATTATTATTATTATTATATTAGCTTACTGCCCTTTAGCCAAAGATGGCAGGGCTCTTCACAACATAAAAAAATTGAGAACACCAAACATGTAATAAAAACAAGAACAAAAAACCCCTCAATAACCCCCTCTCTCACAAAAGCGTATAAAATAACTGCCAAGTGGAAAACGCTGCAAATACACTAAGAATGAGCTTTCTTCCCCCCACCTGCAGATCCCTAAAAGGTAAAGGTAAAGGGACCCCTGACCATTAGGTCCAATCGTGACCGACTCTGGGGTTGTGGCGCTCATCTCACTTTATTGGCCGAGGGAGCCAGCATACAGCTTCCGGGTCATGTGGTCAGCATGACTAAGCCGCTTCTGGCAAACCAGAACAGTGCACATAAACGCCGTTTACCTTCCTGCCGGAGCAGTACCTATTTATCTACTTGCACTTTGACGTGCTTTTGAACTGCTAGGTTGGCAGGAGCATGGACCGAGCAACGGGAGCTCACCCCGTCGTGGGGATTCGAACCACCAACCTTCTGATCGGCAAGCCCTAGGCTCTGTGGTTTAACCCACAGCGCCACCTGCGTCCCTTTTGCAGGTCCCTAAAAGCAGCTTCATAAAAGTATGAAATGGAACCAAGAGCCCAGGGCAGGTGAGAGAGCTTTTAAATCAGGCGTGGGGAAGCTTTTCCAGTCCGAGGGCCACATTACTTTCTAAGCAATGTTCCAAGGGCCACATGCTGGTGGTGGGCGGGGCCACAGGCAAAAGTGGGCGGAACGTGAAATTTGAGCTTTGCATCTCGCACAGCAGACTAGTTACTACATGTACTCTCACACCGTTCTCAATCCCCCGTCCAGATAATCAGGAGGCGTTCCCCAGAGCTGAGAGATACGTTTCCGGCCAGAGAAAACACATTAGGTGTGGGAAGCTGGGAGAGTATAGGGCACGTGGCCCGGGAAGAGTTTTGAGGGCCACACAGGGAGGGAGGCAGGGGTGGGGTGGGGTTTCCAAGGCTCCTCAGCCAACAGGATGAAATGGCTTTACAAGAAAGAGCCGCACTACCTTTCCACACTCCCCTTCCCAAACTCACCCGAAATGCTTGCAAATATCTCGCTGAACCCAATCAGGAGGTATTGAGGGATCTGCCACCAGACCGACATATCAGCCGCATGATAGACTGCGTTCCCAATCGTCTGATTGATAGTCCTGACCTTCACGATCTTCAGCCTGTTGCTTTCCAATATTCCTGGAAGAGAGGGGGAAATGCAATATGGAGCTTCACATTTATTACATATTTTTTAAAAAAAATCCCACCCTTCCTCCTAGATCAGGGGTAAAAGGTAAAGGGACCCCTGACCATTAGGTCCAGTCACGGACGACTCTGGGGTTGCAGTGCTCATCTCATTTTATTGGCCGAGGGAGCCGGCGTACAGCTTCCGGGTCATGTGGCCAGCATGACTAAGCCGCTTCAGGCGAACCAGAACAGCGCACAGAAACGCCATTTACCTTCCCGCCAGAGCGGTACCTATTTATCTACTTGCACTTTGACGTGCTTTCGAACTGCTAGGTTGGCAGGAGCAGGGACTGAGCAACGGGAGCTCACTCTGTTGCGGGGATTCAAATCGCCAACCTTCTGATCGGCAAGCCCTAGGCTCTGTGGTTTAGACCACCGCGTCCCTCAGAGACTGGGGTGGGGAACCTTATTTTAGCCAGTGGGCTGCATGCACTTCTGCGCAAACCTTCTGGGGCCCCCATCCTGGTAGTGGGCAGTGCAAGAGGGGAAAGGGGGCAGAGCAATTAATGCAAATTTTACCTTTGCCTGGTAAAGGTAAGGTAAAGGGACCCCTGACCATTAGGTCCAGTCATGACCGGCTCTGGGGATGCGGCACTCATCTCGCTTTATTGGCCAAGGGAGCCGGTGTACAGCTTCCGGGTCATGTGGCCAGCATGACTGAGCCGCTTCTGGTGAACCAGAGCAGCGCACGGAAACGCCGTTTACCTTCCCGCCGGAGCGGTACCTATTTATCTACTTGCATTTTGTCGTGCTTTTGAACTGCTAGGTTGGCAGGAGCAGGGAGCGAGCAATGGGAGCTCACCCCGTCGCGGGGATTCGAACCGCCGACCTTCTGATCGGCAAGTCCTAAGCTCTGTGGTTTAACCCACAGCACCACCCGCGTCCCACCTTTGCCTGGTAGTTTCTACAAATACACTCACACACACCCCCTTTCACAGCTGAAGCACACATTCCAGCAAGGCAATAACACTTAAGGTGTGTGTGAAGCAGGGCTGGTGACAGGTATGGTCTGGGGAGCATCCCAAGGGCCAGAGAGAGACGTGGAGGTCCCCATGACATGCTCCCCACCTGTGCTTGGAGTGGCGCATGTCATTTCCCTCACTCCTCCATTTTATCCTCCTAACCACCCTACGAGGTAGGGTCAGAGCTTCATAGCCAGGGGATGGAACCCGATTAACCTAACTTGCTTCAGCTGAGTAAATACAATTCAGAAACAATGAATAAACGTTTTTAACACAAGAGCTCGCTGATCAGGCCAATGGCCCATCTAGTCCAGCATCCTGTTCTCACAAGGGTCAACAGGATTCCTGTGAGGAACCTACAAGCTGGATTTGAGCACAAGAAGACTCTCTCCCTCCTGCGGTTTACACCCACCGATAATCAGGAGCGTTGTTGCCTCAGATTGTGGAGGCACAGTGTGATGGCCTGGGAATCTGATTCAGAGGCTGAACCTGAGGAATCCCAGCCTGCACAGGAGTCCCCGCCTCCAGGGCAGGGGCTTGAATCTGAAGGGCCCTCACCTGTGCCAGATCCTCAGGAGCAGAATCCACTCTGGCTCCTGAGGGGCTGGAGGACCCATTGCCTGCAGGTGCTCCTCTCCCAGCCCTGTCAGGGGAAGGTGAGGCTGCCTCTGGGTCCAGTAACCCTCCAGCTTCTCCGGAGCTGCAGAGGCTCAGGGCAGAGAGGCGGAGGGAACTAAGTTCTCTCAGAAGGAGTGCTCGCCTCCAGGCCAGGGGAGGCGAGGCACCTGTGGACCGGGGCCGCCCTATGCCTCGGAGGAGATAAAGGCCAGCCTGCCCAGTCCCAGGTTGCGGGAGCAACATCGTTGGTAACCTGTTCCTGCCAGCACCCTGACCTGCTCTCCTAAGTGCCTGACCACGCCTTACTCCTCGCTTTGGATCTTCGCTTCGCCCCTGACGGACAGCCTCCTTACCCTCGACCTAGGACCGGACTCAGACCATGCCGTACGGTAACACCCCCCCCCCAGGACCAGCACACACAGCAGAGCCATTGTGCTTAACACTGCCCTCTCCTCCTCTATCAATTTGTCTAATCCTCTTTTAAAGCCATCCAACTTGGTAGTCATCACTTCCTCCTGTGGCTGGGAGTTCCAGAGTTTAACTATGCTCCACGTGAAGAAGTCCTTTCTGTCCTGAATCTCCCAACCTTCAACTTCATTGCTGTCCACGAGTCCCAGCGTTACGAGGGAGAAAAACTTTTCTCCATGCCATCCACAAGTTTATGAACTTTTACCCTGTCGCCTCTTCCTCACCTTCTCTCTAAACCAGCGGTTCTCAACCTGTGGGTCCCCAGATGTTGTTGGACTACAACTCCCATCATCCCTGACCACTGGTCATGCTGGCTAGGAATGATGGGAGTTGTAGTCCAACAACATCTGGGGACCCACAGGTTGAGAAACACTGATCTAAACTAAAAAGTCCCAAACTCCACAACTTTTCTTCATAGGGGCATCACTTCACCCCCTTGATCATTTCCGAACCTTTGCCAACTCTACAGTATCCTTTCACAGGTGAGGAACCAGAACTGTACGCCATACAGTGGTACCTAGGGTTGAGTACTTTATTCGTTCCAGAGGTCCGTTCTTAACCTGAAACTGTTCTTAACCTGAAGCACCACTTTAGCTAATGGGGCCTCCTGCTACCGCCGCGCCGCCGGAGCACGATTTCTGTTCTCATCCTGAAGCAAAGTTCTTAACCTGAAGCACTATTTCTGGGTTAGCAGAGTGTGTAACCTGACGCGTATGTAACCTGAAGCGTATGTAACCCGAGGTACCACTGTATTCCAAATGCAGTCACATCACAGATTTATATAACGGCATTATGATACTGGCAGATTTATTTTCACTTCCTTTCCCAATGATCCCTAGCATGGAATTTGCTTTTAAAACAATAAAATTTGAAAGTTGCTGCAGACTGCAAAGACTGACTTCTTCATGAAGCCATCTATTATGACCCCAAGGTCTTGTTCCTGGTCCACCAGGTCATGAGCGTTTAGGGGAAATTAAGATTTTGTTTGCCTTGACAGGCACCACTTTTACACTTGTTTACACTGAATTGCATTTGCCACTTATTCATTCAGTTTGGAAAGGTATTTTTGTTTTATGGACCCTGAGCAATTTAGTGTCGTCAGCAAACTTGGCCCCTTCCTCACTCCAAACTCTATAGAGCGTTTATGAAAACCTTTATGACCTTTTGCCTGCAGAATGTCTCGTGTTGAATCCCTGGGGTCTTCAGAAAGGGCTGGGAAAAACTCCTGGGCTGATGGAGAGCTGCTGCCAGTCAGTGTGGACAATACTGAACTAGATTTATCCATGGTCTGACTCTGTGTTCCTATAAGAAGCTAGGCAAGTGAGCTGGCACCCTGGATCCGCTGCTTCTTCACAGTTCGAAGAGAACGGATGAAGATCTGCTTGCCTTACAAGAGGATTAGCCGAACTAAGCAACCACAGCTTAAATTATGTTTTCTCATATCCACACGCAGAAAATACTGTAAGCACAGCAAAGGAAACAAGAACAAAAACAGCCAGGAAAAGAAGCACATTTTTGGGAAATTCCAGTTTCCTGCACCACAGGATTCTGGAGTTATTGTATTCTCGTTTTAACCAGAATTACACAAATCCGTCCCTCGTCCCATGTGGATTAGCTTGCAGCTACTGATGCAAACAGACATCATTTGGAATAAAGGCCATCTCATTATGGCTAGCAGAACACACACACACCCGGTACAAAGTCAAAGCGGAGCATCAACAGATGCTGGCGACCTGTATTATTTGGTGGGAGAAAAAAACCCGAAATCCAGCGCTTGCTGGTTTTATGCAAATGCTGGACTACAGCGATTTTGCAAAAGCAAGAGATAAATCCCTTTTGATTCCTATGAATACTAAAACCCCCCACAAAAATGAGGTCTGCAAGCTGTACAGCATGTTTCAGATGTCACTGGATAAAGTACCACAACCCTAAACCTGCTTACCTGGGAGTAAAGCCCAATTCAATACGACATACTTCCGCGGAGACAGCCTCAAATGAGTGTTGCTGCCCAGCACAAAAGATTATTGGCTGTGGCCCTTGTGAGACCTTCCCCCTGCCTCTTCCACCTGGCCTCAGGTATGGCTCTACAGATTCACTGATGGACTGCAGCCTTGGAAGCTAAGGCGGCCAGAAGTTCTTTGGGTTAGGGTATGCTGCTTTCGGTTGCTGTTATGGCCCCAACTATTTGGAATGCTTTAAAATGCTTCTAATGCGCCAGAGTGGTGCACGCTCTAGTTATCTCCTGCTTGGACTATTGCAATGCGCTCTATGTGGGGCTACCTTTGAAGGTGACCCGGAAACTGCAATTAATCCAGAATGCGGCAGTTAGACTGGTGACTGGGAGTGGCCGCCAAGACCACATAACACTGGTCCTGAGAGATCTGCATTGGCTCCTAGTACGTTTCCGAGCACAATTCAAAGTGTTGGTGCCGACCTTTAAAGCCCTAAACGGCCTTGGTCCTGTATACCTGAAGGAGCATCTCCACCCCCATCATTCAGCCCGGACACTGAGATCCAGCACCAAGGGCCTTCTGGCAGTTCCCTCATTGCGAGAAGTGTGGTTACAAGGAACCAGACAGAGGGCCTTCTTGGTAGTGGCGCCCGCCCTGTGGAACGCCCTCCCATCAGATGTCAAGGAAATAAGCAGCTATCTTATTTTTAAAAGACATCTGAAGGCAGTCCTGTTTAGGGAAGTTATTATATTTAATGCTGTATTGTTTTTAACACTTGATTGGGAGCCGCCCAGAGTGGCTGGGGAAACTCAGCCAGATGGGCGGGGTATAAATAACAAGAACAAGAACAACAAAATCAACAACAACAATAATAAATTATTTTTAACTTGTTTGCGTTCAAATAAGGGCTCTTGGTGTTCCTGGGAGAAGAAGAGAGCAGGGGGTCCCCCAATCTCAGTGGTTTGGGGTGGGGGGAGGTATGGCGTGTGAGATGGGGCAGACTGGACAAGGGGCACAGGCAGTTAGTGACTATGCTGTGTGCCAGCTCCTCCTCCAAGCTGGGAAATTGCAGTTGTCCTGTCAGCCAGCCCTCAGGTCTGTGACTCCTGTTGTTGTTGAATGTCAGGTCGGCCTCAGAATAAGATCTCCCTCACCCATTATGGATGAGGAAGCTGATCCGGGCAGGAAGAGGGTGATCTGTCAGTGGGCAACATTGACATCAGTCCCTTGTCATGGTCACATCATGAGAACGGGCCTTTTCTGCATTGATTCCCTGTTTGGGGGCTGTTCTCCCCAGAAAAGTTCAGCTGGCGTCTTCATGATACAACTTTAGGCGCCAGGAGGAACTGTTCCTCTTTAGCCAGGCTGATTGACATCTGATGATCTTTTAAAATGTGTTGTGGAAGCGGGGATTGCTGGGCTGTTTTGGTTTTTATTGTATATTTTCTGTTTTTTTTAATTGTAATTTTATGTTGCAAACTGCCCTGAGATCTACAGGTATAGTACAGTATACAAATCTAATTAACTAACTACCTAATTAATTAAGTAATTAATAACAGACATTGTTAGAACTGCACTGTTAATCACTTTTTGTTTTGTTTCCAGTGGTGAGCTGCCTTATCACGAACCGGAAGACCCGGTTACAGTATCCTGGCGCATATATATTTGCAGTGTAAGGCAGGAGTGGTGAACCTCTGTCCCTCTAGGTGGTCTACAATTCCCATCATCCCAACCAACGGTCAGAGATGATGGAGACTGGAGTCCAACAACATCTGGGGGGTGGGCGCAGGTTCCCGATTCCTGACGTAAAGAGTGTCTCCACTTTCATCCTTTTAAAAAAATTAAAATAAAGCCAAAACCAAACTGCCATGCTGCAGATATCAACTACAGGAGGAAAACCAGCCTCCTTCAACATTGGTGCTTGCTTCAAGAATAAAGAGGAAGCGGAGGCGAATTGCGTTTCACATTTCTATGCAGCTGGGGCGATGTCTGAAAAAGGCAGTTCCCTTTCCCCCTCTTCAAATTTTATGCCAGTCATGTGAAGCAGGAAACACTGCTTGCTCACTGGTAACATGTGCCGATCTGTGGCCACCACCTGGCAGGGGCAAATGGAGGCGGAGGAAGAGGAAGTGGAAAACCAGTAGCCCCGAACTGGAGAACAAGCAGGCAGCCTCCTCTGGCTTCTGAGATCGGCCAAGGGACTCCTAGGAGGCTGTCGCTGCTGCCTCAAGGCAATGGGGGAACCAACCTGAGCCTATCCATCAGCTAGAGCAGGCTTCCTCAACCTTGGCCCTCCAGATGTTTTGAGACTACAATTCCCATCATCCCTGACCACTGGTCCTGCTAGCTAAGGATCATGGGAGTTGTAGGCCAAAAACATCTGGAGGGACGAGGTTGAGGAAGGCTGAGCTAGAGGAGATCTAGGGAGCCTTGATACCACCCGATCCTTTCCTGAATCTCTGGCTCCAACATCCAGTTGCCCTGGAACTGCAGGAACAAAGCATCACTCTGCCCCCTCCATCAGCCGAAGGAGCGAGAGGAACCCAGTGCTGCACAGACAAGAGAGCAATGACACTAGTCATGCAATAGCTATGTTCCACCTCCATGGTTGGAGGTATTATGCCTCTGAACACCAGTTGCTGAAAACCACAGGTAGGCAGAGTGCTGTTGCATGGGGACATCTGGTTGGCCACTGTGAGAAGAGGATGCTGGTCAAGCTAGGCCACATGGCTCCTGCTTTCATTATTATCTATTAAATCTGTTGGGTCACTTCATCTTGCCCAGGGCAACCCACAGGAACTTTATTGTTGTTTAGTTGTTTAGTCATGTCCGACTCTTCTTGACCCCATGGACCAGAGCACACCAGGTACTCCTGTCTTCCACTGCCTCCCGCAGTTTGGTCAAACTCATGCTGGTAGCTTCGAGAACACTGTCCAACCATCTCGTCCTCTGTCGTCCCCTTCTCCTTTCCCAACATCAGGGTCTTTTCCAGGGAGTCTTCTCTTCTCATGAGGTGGCCAAAGTATTGGAGCCTCAGCTTCAGGATCTGTCCTTCTAGTGAGCACTCAGGGCTGATTTCCTTAAGAATAGATAGGTTTGATCTTCTTGCAGTCCATGGGACTCTCAAGAGTCTCCTCCAGCACCAGAATTCAAAAGCATCAATTCTTTGGCGATCAGCCTTCTTTATGGTCCAGCTCTCACTTCCATACATCACTACTTTGAAAACCATAGCTTACAGCCCATCATACAGGCAACAAACCCCACGTAGATACATTAAAACCAAGAGGAAAGAGAAATATTTTAAAAACATCACACCCACTTCTAGAAGGCCATAGAGCAGGCTTCCTCAACCTTGGCCCTCCAGATGTTTTTGGCCTACAACTCCCATGATCCCTAGCTAGCAGGGCCAGTGATCAGGGATGCTGGGAATTGTAGTCTCAAAACATCTGGAGGGCCAAGGATTTAGATTTTTCTGTTTTCTCTTTTATGCTGGTTTTAACATATGCATTTGTTTGCTTGTATACTGTAAGTCACTTTGCATTATCTCGTTGTTGTTTTAAAACACCCAGATAATAATAATAAATGTTTCTGCCATTTGTTGAAAGTTTTTCTTTTCTCTCCATGCCTTCCTGAATTCAGCTGCAATCCTAACTATGTCTACTCAGCAGTAAGCCCTATTGAATTCAATGGGGCTTGCTCCCAGGTAAATGGGGTTAGGACTGCAGCCTTAATCTATTTTCTTTCTGCAGTTCTTAATTCTTGCTGGATTTTACTTTTTAATGCTGTTTTATGATCTGGAATCATGCTTTACATTCTATTTCTGGGCTCTGCTTGGGTATTCAGTGAATGGAGAGCCACTGAGAAATTCTGAAATGAAATGAACAAATTAATTCTCTTTCCCTAGAAGTGAAGCAAACCCCAACAATGTCTTCTTTGTTGAATACTTTCCTTTCCTCACAAAGCCTTTCAAAATTAGTTTATTTTGTTTCTGTAGGGTTGTGGTTGTTGTTTTAAAAAAACTTCTGATGAGTGGTGTAGTCAATGGAAAGTTGGACTTCAGCTTGCAGAGTTTGAATCCCTTTCCAGACACTAAGTTCCCTGCGCATTCACACCCACCCAGTATTTACTGCCTTGCCTCCTATAGAGGGATAAAAAAATATGTCCATGATAATAATTTCACCTGACACGCTACATCCTCTTTCCTCTTTCTTCCTTTCTTTTTTGGTTCTTTGAAGTAGCAATGCGCTAAGTTTCAAGATACGATCGAAGGCGCTTCTTTACCATTTAAAGTTTGGGATTAAATTTTTGCCGTAATTGTTTTAAAAGGCTGCAAACGGAGTTGATTTTCCAGCTGAGTAGTCTTAAATACCGCTGCTAAGAATTTACAATGTAAGCCACGAAAGTAAGCACCGCCAACGTTCATTAAATCTAATCAGTCGCGTTCTCGCACAATTTATAAGATATTCTGAAATAATCAAAAGCCTCTAATAGGCGTTGCAAATTGCATCGGGGAGGGCGGGCGCTCAGGGGACGTGGCAACTGGGTGGGGTGGGTGGGGAAGGCAAAGGTGGCGCTGCTGGATTTCGCCTGAATAGAAGAACCCGAAAGAAGCTGCTGCCCCGCGAGAAAACGTGTGCTACCAGATTGTTTGCCCAATCCATAAGCAGCCAAAATGATGTCGTGCTGGACTAGCACCCAGGGGAAAATGAGGCGGGATAAAATAATTTTGTTTGCTGAAGTTATACGGACCTCAGAAAGTTGTGTTGCCTAGGTACAGGGAATTGACTAAAATTAAAAGCACAAATTTCTTGTAGCAGAGGGATAAAAGAAATAAAAGAAACCCCCAAAAGATAAAAGTTCAAACGACTTTGCAGCAGGAACTTGGCTTGCCCACATATCAAAACGACCTTGTCCCAAATAAGGTAACTAGCTCTTCTCATCGAGAGAGAAGCCTTAATGGCCCTATAAAGTGTCCCTCGCTCTGATATACTGGGAGGATTACAAGTCCTCAAGATTAATTTATTTAAGACTATAACGCTTTATCAATACGTTCCTTGTGGTGGGTACCAGGTGAAGGCATGAGCAGTCTATGAAGCACTGCGGAAAGGTGCTGAGCATGTGGAAATTTTTCACAGTAAGTAGATCATTTACACATCCTACAAAGGCATCATTGTTTTCTTCTTGACTAAGTTGCAGAATTAGAGAAGATTAAGGCACAGGACTGGTGAAACAAATACAGTGACACAGGTGTTGCTAGGGGTCTATGTATGGGCCCAAAATATTCCTGGGTGGGCAAAGAATTTGGGAGGAACCGAATGGGGGGGTGATCTTGGTTACTGGGTAGGTAGATGTTAACTTTTCTTGGAAGGGGAAATAAATGTTAACATGACTTTATCTGGAGATGATTTGAGAAATGGATAGGAGTAACGGAAGAGGAATTGAAATGATTTGGAGCAGGATCTCCAAAGAGATCAAAGAAAGGACTTCTTTACATGGGATTTGAAGTGATGGACACCAACTTGGAAGGCTTCAAAACAGACAAATTCATGGAGGAATAAGGCTCTCAGTGGTTTACCAGCCAGTGTTGGGAGGAAGAAGGCCCCAGGACAACAGCTGCTGGGAAACCTAAGTGGGGAAAACACTCTTGCGCTTGTGGGATTCCCAGAGGCATCTGGTCAGAAACCAAGACACAAAGTGTTGAACTTGATAGGCTTTTGGTCTGATGCTGGTGTAACGTATCACAACTTTTAATCCCATTTTCTAGATGTTCCGGGCAGCCGCCAAACGACCGTTCAACCAGCGGCACTCTCAGCCGTCCCTCCCCTCTCTCACCTGCAGCAAACGCAGAGCACATCACAAAGAACATGCCGACGGCAATCCTCTTCAGTGACGACGGGAGCAGGCCGTGCCTCTTCAAGATGGGGTCGACCACTTTGTCCTTCAAAGGTATTAATATGAGGATAAGCACCGCGTCAAACATGGTCAGCCAAGCTGCAGGGAACTGGGGGAGAAAGGGGAGGAGAGAGAGAGATGGAACAAAGTTGTAAGAGCATGAGGAGAGCCTGGACTGCTGGATCAGGCCAGAAGGCCCATCTAAACAACTACCTGACATTTAGAAGACATCTGAAGGCAGCTCTGTTCAGGGAAGTTTTTAATGTGTGATATTTTAATGTATTTTTAATCTTTGTTGGAAGCCACCAGAGTGGCTGGGGAAACCCAGCCAGATGGGCAAGGTACAAATAATAAATTGTTGTTGTTGTTCTGGTTATCTCTCGCTTGGACTACTGCAATGCGCTCTATGTGTGGCTACCTTTGAAGGTGACCCGGAAACTACAACTAATCCAGAATGCGGCAGCTAGACTGGTGACTGGGAGCGGCCGCCGAGACCATATAACACCAGGTCTTGAAAGACCTACATTGGCTCCTAGTACATTTCCAAGCACAATTCAGTGTTGCTGCTGACCTTTAAAGCCCTAAACGGCCTCGGTCCAGTATACCTGAAGGAGCGTCTCCACCTCCATCGTTCTGCCCGGACACTGAGGTCCAGCGCCGAGGGCCTTCTGGCGGTTCTCTCATTGCGAGAAGTTAAGTTACAGGGAACCAGGCAGAGGGCCTTCTTAGTAGTGGCGCCCGCCCTATGGAACGCCCTCCCACCAGGTGTCAAAGAGAAAAATAACTACCAAACTTTTAGAAGACATCTGAAGGCAGCCCTGTTTAGGGAAGCTTTTAATGTTTAATAGGTTCTTGTATTTTAGTGTTTTGTTGGAAGCTTCCCAGAGTGGCTGGGGAAACCCAGCCAGATGGGCGGGGTATAAATAATAAATTATTATTATATTATTGTTGTTGTTGTTATTACTATCCCTATTATTATCATCTAGTCCTGCATCCTGATCTCACAGTGGCCAACCAGATGCCGAAAATGAGAAGTCCACAAGTAGGGTCTGAGCAGAAGAGTATCTCTCCCCAATTTTGCTCCACATTCCACAGTAGAATGGAACCCAGGGAGGTTCTCCTGGCTCCGTCATTATATATCATTAAGTGCAAGGCAAGCCCCACCCCCTTTTACCAGGTCTTTGGCTTTTAATTACCGTATTTTTTGCCCTATAGGACGCACTTTTCACTCAAAAATGAAGGCAAATGTGTGTGCGTCTGGGCGAAGCCTTTTGCTGAGCTGGAGAGCGAGAGGTTCGTGCGTACCGACCCCTCTCGCTCCAGGCTTGCGACCTCTCCGCACAGCGCTCCCGTGCTGCGGAGAGTTGCCTGATCCGAAGCCTCGCCGTGAGATCAGCGAGGCTTCGCGACCTCTGCAAGCAGCAGAGCGCTCCGCTTTCGGGAGTTGCCTGCATGCGAGCCTGCGCGCGCGAGATCAGCGCGTAGGCTTGCGGACTCTCCGCAGCAGCGGGAGCCAGTGCTGGGTCCAGGCTGCAGAGGCAAGCGCCCGCCCCCCCTACCAGGTGGCTTTGGCGGTTTTAATATCTATGTTCTTCTGTTTACGAGAGGGTGGGGTGTTTTAACCAGCTTTTTAAAAAAATGAATTGCCTTCTCGATTTTGCTCTGCTTTCCCTTTTTTAATGGTTTTAATGCATCTATCTGTAAGGTTCTTTGAGTTACTTTGCTAAAAAAGAGAAAGGATGACTTTAATGAAATAATAATAATAATAGCACTAATAACTCTGCCCACTTTCAATGGTTCTCCAAAGGGAAAAGGAGGATGGACACTGTTTTGTGTGTGTGTGTGTGTCATCGTTCTTAACAGTCCCAGAGGGGATCATAATTTTAATGGTTCCAGGACCAGAAGTGATTCAGAATCAGTTTCTGGACAGTGATAGATCATAAGGAACATTATACATTATCGCTACCAATTTAAAGGGAGGGAGGACACACCCCTCTGTACAGTGGAACGAGGGACATTAATTTTCATCGTTAAGATTTCACCGCTTGACTCAGCCTGGAATCTCGTTAACAGAACAGGACTGTCACGCAAGGGGCTGAGATTCCATTAAGCCCTATTAATCACCAGAACACCTGTCTGCAGAATTATGGATTACGCCACTCACATCTGATAAACAAAGCCCTGTAAATTATTGAAATAAACACACACAAAGATGGCTTTTAAACAGCCATCAGAGCTCATATTAATGGTGGGTGTGACAGGAAGCAGTCAGTTATGCACTCCCTGCTGATCCCCCCCTTGGCTTCAGAAACCACACGTTCCCCTACATGGTTTTGCTTAACCGTTTTCTCATTGCTAGAAAGTCTCCCCGCCCCCCCCAAAGTGCCTAAGGGTTTTGGATCTTGCACTGCTGTTATCACCATCATTTATCCCAAGCATAGGAACCTGTGTCCTTCCCAGATGCTGATGGACTCCAGCTCCCATCGTCCAAGCTGGCTGGGGCTGATGGGAATTGGAAGTCCAACAACCTCCAGAGGGCTGCAGGTTCTCCGCCTCTGAGTTAAAGGAGCATCTTGCTTGACAGAGCCTGCTGCTGGAAATCTACCGTAATTTTTGCTCTATAAGACTCACTTTTTCCCTCCTGAAAAGTAAGGGGAAATGTGTGTGCGTCTTATGGAGCGAGTGCAGGCTGCGCAGCTATCCCAGAAGCCAGAACAGCAAGAGGGATTGCTGCTTTCACCGCGTAGCGATCCCTCTTGCTGTTGTGGCTTCTGAGATTCAGAATATTTTTTTTCTAGTTTTCCTCCTCCAAAAACTAGGTGCGTCTTGTGGTCTGGTGCGTCTTATAGAGCGAAAAATACGGTGCTTTAATACAGAACAACAAACCCCTGTGTTGCAAACTTAACACAACAAACAACACAAGCAACACAAAGACCAGTATACTAGATAGCACTGTAGTTCTTATTGCATATTATAAATGATTTAGTACAACAAAAACAAAATGTGTATACTTGTAAATTCTCTAATATATTTGAAAACAAATGAACACATGTCTGTCAATCTTTGAAAGTCCGTAAAAGTATAAGAAGTCTATGGTTGAGACAAAGTAATAGATGCTATCCTGTGAGCTGAGCGGTAAAACTTTTTAGGCGTTCATGGTGCCGAAGTAGTAAGTGAATAACAACGTAGGACAGTGATCCCAGATAATCTGACTGTTTCGCTGGAATCTTCTTCAGCACAACCCATAGATTAGAAAAATGCACAAGGAGCAGTGGTCATGAGGATACAGTCAGATTATCCACAGACGTGTGTTCATTTGTTTTCAAATATATTAGGAAATCTACTTTAAAACACAAGAGCAAATGCACATTTGCACCAGCTCTTTGCGCCATGAGAAACTCTGGGAACATACCAAGAAAAGCAGGCAGGTGGGTCTGAGCACAACATCTCAAGTGGATTACTATTTATTAACTTATTAATCATAGGTATATACTGCTTTCCCTCAAACAAGCTCAATGTGGCATTGTCAGGGAACTGCCATCAGTGCCGGAGGGAGAGAGCAAAATCCAGAGGGGTTCCAGAGAGAGTCCCGGGAGTGGGAGAGGCAGCCCATCTTCTGGGGAAGAGAATCAGCGTAGCACCAGTGGAGAAGGGGGGCAGGTGGTGGAAGCAGCGAGGCGGTCCCATGACTCATTGCCGGGGACCAGCGGGGAGAGTAGAGGTCCTCCGCTGCCTACGCCCTCCTTGCGCAGAAGGCTTTCGCACAGAGAGAGTAGGAGACTAGGCATAAAAGAGCTTCTTTGCTGGAAGAAGTTTAAGAAACGCCCACTGACGGATTCTGCCAGCGATTGAGACAGCCACGGGAGAGTGGCTGTCCGGACAGAAAAGGCTCACTCAGGCAACCCAGCCAGGTGTTTGCACCGGCTTACGCACGAGCAACCACTACAGGCATGCACATATTTTTTCACACCCTAGAGCAGTGTTTCCCAACCTTGTGCCTCCAGCTGTTTTTGGACTACAATTCCCATCATCCCTTGCCACTGGTCTTGCTAGTCAGGGATGATGGGAGTTGTAGTTCAAAAACAGCTGGAGGCACAAGGTTGGGAAACACTGCCCTAGAGAATCTTACTGCCTAGATCAGAACCCAGGAACCTGCAGTTCTACTAAGAACTCCTTGGTTCTTTTCACATGTATTACCGGCACTCTAAGGAACATGAAACAAAACTCCAAAGGAGATCAGCCATGTCTGAAGTCTGCCCTAGTTCATAAAAGCTGATGCCACAGTGAAGCTGCCCCTGCCTGCGGTGTCAAAAGATTCTGAATCTGCATTCAGATCAAACCACCAAAACTTAAAATTTAATTGAGGCAGAACGAAATAGCACGTTGCATTTCACTTTATGCGTATCTGACAGATTTCGACAGTCACACCTTGCATGTTAAGAAACGAAACAAAATGCAAAACATTTCCCCAACTTTCATTATTAAGAACCCTAGGGCTATTTTGACAAAATGTGAGAAAGAAATGCCATTTAAATTATCAATCAGAATGCTAGGATTATTGCTGCACCATCCAGGTGCTGAATTCTGATTTTGAGTAAACACCTCAATTTTTTGAAGGCAGCACATTAAAAGCCAGAGATCCGGCCATTTTGGAAGGCTGGCATTTGAAAGCACTTTCATGTTATGGCTTCCTTTTTTAAAACAACAACAACCCACGAGTATAGTCTTTGCTGTTGGCTTTAAACATTTTGAGTTACACTTTATCTGCCCAACAGAGAAAGCTTGACGAAAGAGTACATTTTTTTACTTGTGCATGAGAAAAAATAGTTTCTATTTTTTAAAAAAAACCAAACAAACCAAGGGATGGATCCAAATTGGCCCAATGAGACCTGAGCATGTTTGTTGTGCACAGATTACTAGTTGACCATTTTTTGGGTGGGTGGACAAAAAACAGGAGGGGGGGTAGAAAGGTATTCTAGAAAGGTACCATATTTTTCGCTCTATAAGACAAACCTGACCACAAGACGCACCTAGTTTTTGGAGGAGGAAAAAAAGAAAAAAAATATTCTGAATCTCAGAAGCCAGAACAGCAAGAGGGATCGCTACGCAGTGAAAGCAGCAATCCCTCTTGCTGTTCTGGCTTCTGTGATAGCTGCGCAGCCTGCATTTGCTCCATAAGACGCACACACATTTCCCCTTACTTTTTAGGAGGGAAAAAGTGAGTCTTATAAAGCAAAAAATACGGTATTCTAGAAAATGGCCATTGCTGGCTGGCATCCTTAATAGGAGCAGTATTTTGCTGTACGCCTGATTTGTACTTGATTAATTATTTTGATTGTTCAACCCTGGGGTGTGTGACCTAAGGACCAGGGGCTGAATGTAGCCCTCAAAACATTGCTCTCAGGCCTTTGGAGTTATTCACAGCTACATTCCTCCATCCCAGGCTAGACCTCTCACCACAGTTGAGTGTTTTGCTAACCTGAAATGTGTCCTTGAAATTTTGATAATGCCTCCTGGTTTTCTATATGGGGGATAGGGAGGGGCTGCAAGTGTGTGTAGGAACTAGCCTACCACATTAAAGTAAAAATCATACTCATTGCTTGGCCCACTTTTGTCTCTGGTCCTGCCCACCACTGATATACACCCCCCCAAAAGGATGTCCAGAAGGAAATGTGTCTCTCAGGCTGAAAAACGGTCCCCACTCCTGTTTGACTCCCTAGCATCCAAGCCCCCAACATGGTATCAGGTGCTCATTACGCAAGTTCTTGCAGAGATTGACCTCTACAGCTAGGAAACAGCCAGGCAGCCCGAGCTGAAAAGGCCAGGATTGGGAAAGGGGGAAATCGGCAACACAAGTGATGAGGGAATGCCAAGGGTCTAGTCCTTAAGCTTGAGAAGAGGCAGGAGACAGCTGAGTAGGCAAAAGGCATAGAACAAGTAAGTTGGAAGGCCTCCTGTGCCAGATTCATAAAGACACATTTCAAGGCTAATGGGAACTCACATAAATTCCCTCTTCCTGCCTGGCCTCTCTTCCACACCTGTGAGCTAGAAAGTGCCTTTTCCTGTGTCAGAACTTTGGTCCCTCTAGTTCAGTCCTGTCCACACTGACGGGCAGGGTTACAGGCAAGGCTCTCTCCTAGCCTTACCTGGAGACACCAGGGGACTGAATTTGGGAGCTTCTGCATGCAAAGCAGATGTTCTACCACTGAGCCACGTCCCTTCCTCAAAAGAGCTTTTGCCCAAGGACCGTGTCACTTTTGGGCTCCATCTGGCAGGCAGCAAACTGCAGCACTAACCGACCCCTTGCACAGAAGCCCAAGGAAGCAGAGAGATTAGAAATTCATTTCCCCCAAGGCTGCAAACTCATTAAAGTCACATAACACAACATCTGCACCGGCCCACAGCATTCTGCAAAACATGATTTATGGCAGCATGGAAGTATTGCGGGAGCACCACAGGTTAAGTCGCATGTACAGAGGGCATGTACACAATGTCTTTTATAATAATAAAGATATCTACGCACACGCAAACACACACGGGCTGCGTTTCAGCCTCTGAGCCTCACCCTTCTTGAAATGCCCTCAGAGGCAATGGTTCTGCCCTTAATTAAAATTGCTACTGACAAGACAATAGCACAGGCCGACTGGAACCCGAAAAGGCTGCCCACTTCACACAGCCCAGCAACCACTGGGAAAGTTCAATGCACGGAGGCACAAAGGCTTCCGATTTAAACCTGAAAACCTTGCCAGGGCCGTCTACTTAAAAGCCCGTGTGGATTCTTACGATGGTGATTAAATAGTCCGCTTCAGAAAATGTAGGCCGCAGCACCAGAAATTCTGGAAAGGCAAGTCACCCTATGGAACCCAGTGCTTCAGCAGTACAGAGGAGTTGCTCTTATAATGATGATGATGATGATGATGACGATGATGTAGAGAATACGTATTGCTCTTGCAGAGGAGGTTTCGAATGAGGGTCACTAGTAGTGCACAGGTTCCCCGGATGTTCTCGAGTTCCAACTCCCTTCAGCCCCAGCCAGCATGCTCAATGGTCAGGGACGAAGGCAGTTGTAGTCCAGCAACATCTGGCAGGCCATAGGTTCCTCTCCCCTCCTTTAGTAGCAAAAACTCTGGCGCTGTACCTCCCACACCATGACAGCCAGAATCCGTCATGGAAATGGAAACCCCTGTCCATTTGGTCCTGAAAGAATCAGGTGTGACACCTTTCTCGGGGTGGGGAGAGCACAATGCTAGGAGTTTGGTGGGTTGATGCAACTGCTTACATGAATTTGGAAGTACCCACCAGGTTTATAGGGATGCGGGTGACACTGTGGGTTAAACCACAGAGCCTAGGAATTGCTGATCAAAAGGTCAGCAGTTCGAATCCCCGCAACAGGGTGAGCTCCCATTGCTTGGTCCCTGCTCCTGCCAACCTAGAAGTTCGAAAGCACATCAAAGTGCAAGTAGATGAATAGGTACCACTCAGGCGGGAAGGTAACAGCGTTTCCGTGCACTCCTCTGGTTCGCCAGAAGCGGCTTAGTCATGCTGGCCACATGACCTGGAAGCTATACGCTGGCTCCCTCGGCCAGTAAAGCGAGATGAGCGCCACAACCCCAGAGTCGGTCATGACTGGACCTAATGGTCAGGGGTCCCTTTACCTTTACCAGGTTTAAAACAAGTCCAATGAAGTAAAATAAAAAACCCAAACAGAATTTAAAGTCGAAATACAGGCCTAGAGGTTTAGTGGGTTGATGCTGGTTGCAACATCAGGCTTAAAACAAGTCTTAAAAAAACCCAGCCACTCAGAATTCAAAGTTGAAATACAAGCCTGAAACTTACACACTCAGAACTTTATTTACAACTTTGGAAGTTTTGCCCACCTGCCTTGAAGTTCAGTGGCTTCTTGAGATGCAGTTCTTCCAAATTGCTCAGAATTGCTGACATCTTAATATTAAGCAGGTTAGCTTTTTGGATCAAACGCCTCCTTTATGAATACTGCATTAAAACCACCATACATTATGAATTTGGGTTATGAGGGTGATAGGGAGGTGAGCTGAACAATTTAGGAAGGGGGGGCGAGCCTAGGACTAGGGGTCACCCACAGAGACAGCAGTCCCCCCCTGGCCTTCCCAACAAAACTGATTAATCATTCAGCAACCTGCAGGAACGGTGTCATCAAAAGGGCATTACTAAACCTGAATGTGGGTCCAAGGCTCCCTGTGTGTAACATGGGCACAATCCTGATGTGTGCCAGTGGAGTTTGAATTTCTACTTTATTAAAATGGGCACCACACATGCCAGTCCAGATATGTATAGAGAGAGAGATATGCAGAGATAAGCGATAGAGGTAGAGATATATCTGGGGGAGAGCCTGAGGGAATGATTCTAGACAATCCCATGGAAGTCTGCCAGTGTCCATTTGCATGCATTCTGAAACCAAAAAGGAACATCCACTGAGCTTTATCCTCATGGAGCTACCATTCTCAGAGTTCCCCGGGAAGAGGCACTCTACGTGGGGCTACCTTTGAAGGTGACTCGGAAACTACAACTAATCCCAAATGAGGCAGCTAGGCTGATGACTGGGAATGGCCGTCGGGACCCATAACACCAGTCCTAAAGGATCTTCACTGGCTCCCAGTATGTTTCCGAGCACAATTCAAAGTGTTGGTGCTGACCTTTAAAGCTCTGAACAGCCTCGGTCCAGTATACCTGAAGGAGCGTCTCCACTCCCATCGTTCTGCCTGGACACTGAGGTCCAGCTCCAAGGGCCTTCTGGCGGTTCCCTCCCTGTGAGAAGCCAACTTACAGGGAACCAGGCAGAGGGCCTTCTTAGTAGTGGAACCCGCCCTGTGGAACGCCCTCCCAGCAGAAGTCAAGGAAATAATCAACTATCTGACTTTTAGAAGACATCTGAAGGCAGTCCTGTTTTGGGAAGTTTTTAAGGATTGATGTTTTTATTATGTTTTTAGGTATGTTGTAAGCCGCCCAGAGTAGCTGGGGAAACCCAGACAGATGGGTGGGGTATAAATATTATTATTATTAATTGTTAAATTAATTATTATTATAATTAATAATTGTTAAATTACTCTGTTCATTCTAGCTCTGAGGGTGATAATGGTCTCCCAACACTCTTAACAAACTGCACCCCTCGCCCAAGATTCTTTGGGGAAAGTCAGAGTGGTTATAATTCTGCTTTAAATGCATATTCCAGATGGGGCTTAATAGATAAGGATTCTTTAAAAGGTAGGATAATGTTCAATGGTACCATTTATTATTTTAACAGTATGCCTGAACACTCTCCCATGCTTCTGAGGATCATTAAATAGTGTTGTCTCTTATCTCTGCCTACAGTTACAACAAAGGAGGAGGAGGTCGCTGCAGAAGGGATTGCATCTTGGACCACGAAATGGCAGAGCCTGCTCCCCTTTCTGTTTTGATTCTTCGTCGAGCTCCCCCCCCCCAATCCCACCTGCATGCTATGAAACTGTAACCCAGGAACCCAAGCTGCAGGGAAACAGGGGTATCCACATGACCACTTACCGTATGGCTGTTTGAGGTGCTGTTTGAAAACTGGGGGATTCTCAAGTGCAGGCTTTGGAGGACATACGTTGTCTGCATCTGAAGTGAAAGAAGGGAAATTGTTTATATTCTGCTGGAGGTCGGAACACGTACCCCTCCCAGGTGTCGATGGACTATACCAGGTATAGGCAAACTCCGGCCCTCCAGATGTTTTGGGACTACAATTCCCAACATCCCTGACCACTGGTCCTGTTAGCTAGGGATGATGGGAGTTGTAGTCCCAAAATATCTAGAGGGCCAGAGTTTGCCTAAGCCTGGACTATACCTCATCCACCATCCCTGACCATTGGCCATGATGAACGGAAGAGGAGGGCCCTGGAGTCTATGAACACCCAGAGTGCCACAGGCCCCCCCATCCCTGACAAGGGTCTCATCAATTACTCTTTACAGAGTGCAGGGTCCCTGCCCCAAGCAGCTTACAGTCTATTGGCTGATGTCAACATGGGAAACAAATACTTGCTTGTCCCTAGAAACACACACTTTTTCTTCTTGAAAGCAATTGATTTACAAACAGACCCAGAAGTCGTTGGGCTTCCCTGCAATCTATTTTGTGCTCCTGTCTCTTTTTCTACTTTTTTTAGATGCGGCAGCCATTTTGCGTCATGCCACACTCCAGCGGCAGCCATTTTATGACTGGCACCCAGGGCTCCATCTCAAAACATCAAGGACTTTCGCCCTCTGCACTAACAGCCAAAGACTGTTTAGATGGCAAATCTAGCCCCCTTGCTGCTCTTGACGTACAGGAACCAAAACCCGAACTGGGCCCCATTCACCAACCTGAAAATAGACCGTCCAGTAAGGTATGAGGGCCAGGAAGACTGGAATGATTTTGACCAGCGCTTTCACATCCTCAACTTTATCTTCCCTGAATGGCCCTCCATGGGATGATTTGGCCATCTCGAAGAGGCTTTGTTTGGGAGCTGGTTGATGAAGTACCCCTTGGGTGTCTCTACTTGAAAGAAGGAAGAAGGGAGATGGATCCAAAGGACTGCAACACAGCAAAACTGGAAATTTTGGGAAACCTGTATAGTATACTAGCAGCCCCATCCCCAGTGTTGCTTGGGAGTTCTAAGAAACAAACAAACAAAATCAGGGCAGTTTGGAAAATCAGAGTTTACAACTATCATACAAAATTGGGTTTAAAATCAGTGCAGCTTTGAAAGGTCCAGTCCGCCATCTTGGCTCAAAAACGGCATCCAAACACTCCCAAAGCCAAAGAGGCTTTCTAAGTTTTCTCCAATGGGGGTGCACAGCATTGAAAAATAGGTATGCTTTCTCTCTCTCTCTCTTGAGACAGAGACTCTGCAGCAGCAGCCAGCTGAAGTTCTTCTCCATCCAGTGTTTGCAGAATATTCCTCTTAAACCTATTTATGCTACTGCTGCCTTTTCAATCTTCCAAAGTGTGCTTTATTGCATGGCTGCTAATTGCTCATTCTTCTCAACATTATGTGTTTTGGTTTTTTTTTACAAATTATTACTTTATGGGTCATTAATCTGCCTTCCATTATCTTAGACATAGGCAGGACATTCCTTTCGATAACAAGCAAACACTCATGCTTATTTAATCGGGCCACTAAGCTCGCCTAAGATTTCTTTCCCTTGAAAAGAACAATGTGTGTGTGAGAGTGCATCTGTATGAATCAGTTTCCCAACATCCTGTCACATTCTAGAGTAGGTTTGGCCCTCTGGCTGCTGCTGAACTACAACTCCCATCAGGCCCCAGCAAGCACAATTGCCAACCTAGCCTCAAGAGATCTCCACGTGGTCGCTACTGGATCCACACCAGTCACAAAACGCGCCTGGCAAATTTCGAACACTGCCTAGAAGGGGGAAATCCCAGCTACATACCTATTGCTGGAGTATTCCTCAGGCCTCTTCCGGGAACAACATGAATAAGCCAGAATCTTAAACATGTCTGTGAAGGCGCTGCCGTCAGGGGGCTTTGTGATGAAGAAGCTCTGGCCACAGAGAAAGACGACGAAGGACACCCCGATGCAAACAGCTGGGATGATGTAGCCGATGACAAAGCTCACGTTCTGCTGGATGTACGCGATGCCTCCCAAGGATACGATGGCCCCCAAGTTTATGCTCCAATAAAACCAGTTGAAAAACCTTCGTGTGGCTTCGGGGCCCCGGTCTTTGACCTGCATGAGAGTTTGTTGTTGTTTTTAAATCTCCTCCGTAAAAAAACAACCTACAAATCAATAACTATTTGCCAAAACAAACGCCTGATCAAGAGCAATGCATTCCCATTCTGTTTTAATTGCATTCGTGATGCTTCTGAAAATCCAGGAGCGTCAGAGAAAGTGGGGGGGGGGGTTGGGGGGACGACCAGTTGTGTTTATTTGTTACTATGTTATGTACGTTTGTGGTTTTATACAGGCAAGGCCCCGTTTACACACATTTAACACACGCTCAGCTATGCACACACTTATTGTGCCATCCCCGAAAGCGATCCAAAATCGTCACAAAAAGGGGCAGAACGGGGTGCTTGAGGCTTTTGAAATGGTACTTCAAATATACCGTACGTGATTTCACTGAGCCGTGTGGTTCCTCAGGACGTAACCCCACACTAAATGGGGGTTGCCTGTCTTTTAAACCATCCTGTGATCCTCAAATGGCAGGCAGTATAGAAAATAACATGCAAGTCAGTATTAACTTAGTGATGTTCCTAAGAACCCACGCAAGATTAAGAATCTAAGGGTGCATTCAGACTTGGGGTTTTCTTGGTTTTCCTGGTGATCACGCTAGTACTTTTGCCCAGGTTTCTAATGTACCTTTTGCACTGCCTTAACTATTGCCTTTTGAAACTGCAGCTGTCTGATTGATCTACAGAGCCACGGTGCACTAAATTTCATCCATACCAGTAAGGCACCACAGCAGATGCCATCGGACATGTCACCTTCTCTTATGTCCATGTGTGCTTCTGTTCCCCATGAAAATAGGGGGAAGAAACTGCATGCCGGAAAATAAGTCCCCCAAATTCTGTCACATGCTGCGAGCCACAAAAAAATGGCAGGAAAGTTACAGCACATGATTTTGCAGGGTTAACATGGGCGATGAGCTTCTGCTAGATTCCCAGAAGTGGATTTCACGATGTGTGAAAGATCACGTAAAACATGGTAATGGTCAGGTAAGGAAATGTCAGGAATAAAAGTGCTGTCTGAATGCAGCCTAAGAACAGCCCGGCTTTTCTAATTGGGGTTATCTGCCCCATCTGCCGAGAGATTAAAGTGCCATAACAGCAGGACTCCAACAGATACCAAAGTCCTCTAAGCAGCCCCTTTCTAGTAGGGAATTGCTTCCGATGTTCAAAAGCACATATCTAGTGACTAGATTAAAATCTACAGCTTGATGAGCCTGAGCACAAGGTTGTCAACTATGGGTATTTTTTTGTTTTCTGTCTAACACCACCAATTGCTGGCTAGCTTTTAAACCAGGGGCTGGGAGCCTGTTGCCCTCCCAATGTGTTCGACTCCAGCCAGCATGGCTAATGGTCAGCGATGATAGGAGCTGCATTCCAGCAACGCCTTGAGGGCTGCAGGTCGTCCCCCCCACATGACTTCCTCCAAAAAAAACCTGGGAACTGTTGTTTAAAGGTGCTGGGATTTGTAGCTGGGATGGGTGCTGGGATTTGTAGCTCTGTGAGGGGCAATGGGTGTCTCCTAACAAGTTTTAGCACCCATTCTGAACTACAGTTCCCAGGAATATTTGGGGGAAGTGATGACGGCCCATTTGAAGGTGGCTACCATACCTTCTGAGAGCTGGACCATAAAGAAGGCTGATCGCCGAAGAATTGATGCTTTTGAATTATGGTGCTGGGGGAGACTCTTGAGAGTCCCATGAACTGCAAGAAGATCAAACCTCTCCATTCTGAAGGAAATCAGCCCTGAGTGCTCACTGGAAGGACAGATCCTGAAGCTGAGGCTCCAAGACTTTGGCCACCTCATGAGAAGAGAAGACTTCCTGGAAAAGACCCTGATATTGGGAAAGATTGAGGGCACAAGGAGAAGGGGACGACAGATGGTTGGATAGTGTTCTCGAAGCTACAAACATGAGCCTGACCAAACTGCGGGAGGCGGTGGAAGACAGGAGTGCCTGGCGTGCTCTGGTCCATGGGGTCACGAAGAGTTGGACACAACTAACAACAACCATACCTTCTATTCTCCACCCTAAACATACCCAACCATTCCTCAAAAGGCTTGGCTTCCAGACGCTTGGATTATTCTGGTCGCCTTCCTCTGTGCATCTTCCAGCTTGTCAGTACCCTTCTTAAACCGTGGTGCCCAGAACTGAACACAGTGCTCCAGATGTGGTCTGACCAAGGCAGAACTATTACTTCCTCTGATCTGGACATTATACATCTCTTGATGCAGCCTAGATTAGCATTAGTGCTTTTTTTTTTTTTTGGACACTGTATTACACTGTTGACATGCAGTTCAGTAACTGAACTTTCCTCCTTACAAAAACCCGAGTTGTGCACACACAGACTAGCAAGGCAGGGAGAAGAAAGCTAGATCAGAACATTTATCAGGAATTGGGAATTTTTCAGCCTGAGGGCTGCATGCTTTTCCAGGTGACCATCTGGGGACAACATCCCAGTGGTGGGCAGAGGCAGAAGTGTGCCAAGTGCTGAACATGAATTTTACCTTTTGTACCGCTGTGGGTTAAACCACAGAGCCTAGGGCTTGCCGATCAGAAGGTCGGTGGTTCGAATCCCCGCGACGGGGTGAGCTCCCGTGGCTCGGTCCCTGCTCCTGCCCACCTAGCAGTTCGAAAGAACATCAAAGTGCAAGTAGATCAATCGGTACCACTCTGGCGGAAAGGTAAATGGTGTTTCCGTGCGCTGCTCTGGTTTCACCAGAAGCAGCTTAGTCATGCTGGCCACATGACCCAGAAGCTGTACACCAGCTCCCTCGGCCAATAAAGCGAGATGAGCGCCACAATCCCAGAGTCGTCCGCGACTGGACCTAACAGTCAGGGGTCCCTTTACCTCTTTTACCATAAGCTGGTTTCTATCCACGCTGCCCCATCCCTCTCCATTCCTCATTCAGGCAAGCAAGAGGCATGACCAGAGTTTGGACACATCCCAGTCAGGCAAAAACACTCAAGGAGGGTGCAAAGCAAGGGGCAGAGAGGGTGTGGCCTGAGGAGAGTATACCAAGGGCCTGAGTTTTCCCAACCCAATTCTAAGAGGAAAAATACAGGGGAGCGTTCAATCCCAAATCAGAACCTGCAGGAAGTCAGAGCAACAGTGATTTTGCAGGGTTTCAGACCGGAGTCTCTCTCCCCTCCTAAACATGGGGATAGCAGGGAATGAACTGGGACCTTCTGCATGCAGGTGCTCTACCACCCTTTATTTCTGCCACCTCGGCGAAAGTAAGACCGCAGCGATTCCGGGAAGCCACCGAGGAGCAGCTGTGCAGCAACTCCCCGCGAGGAGGAACTGAGAGATGCAAAATATAGTTCCCTGCTGACCAGAGTTTATAGCGCAGCCGTAAATCTCCCAACATTTCACAGCTGAAACGAGGCTCAGACCTGCGTGCGCTTAAAGCAGCCGTATCTTTGCAAGAACTGCACTAGCTGAGCATCTCACCCACCCCTCCCCAAATCCATGTTGTGAGGGGTCTGCACTGCCTGCTGTCCGGAATATGACTTGGCTATCCAATGGATGTACCCTGCTGGCTGGCTTATGAAGGTGGATCTCTTAACAGGGGTTCAGATGAATGCTCCCCCCCCATATGCAGAAACGAAGCATGAGAGCTACATGGGGCTTCACACCCTGAGTCACCCACCCTTCTCTCCCGTTGCTGGATGTGTGATTGTCACATCACATGTCTGTGTTTACATTCCATGCTTGGAAAGTGTGGGAAACAGAAGCCAGTCCTATCTCTTCCATTGTACAGTGGTACCGCAGGTTACATACGCTTCAGGTTACATACGCTTCAGGTTACAGACTCTGCTAACCCAGAAATAGTGCTTCAGGTTAAGAACTTTGCTTCAGGATGAGAAAAGAAATCGGGCTCCGGTGGCGCAGCAGCAGCAGGAGGCCCCATTAGCTAAAGTGGTGCTTCAGGTTAAGAACGGACCTCCGGAACGAACTAAGTACTTAACCTGAGGTTCCACTGTATTGTACTTTTGGGTTTTTTTTACTTTTTCTCTCTCTTTCGAAGAAGATGTGAGAGGATGCCATGATTGCTTCTGGGTTACTTCCGGGTTTCGCTGCTCACACATGTGCAGGCGATCAAAATGACATCACGGCATGTGCAAAAGCGGCGAACCGCGACCTGCCACGCGAAGACGTGCAGATGCGGGTTGTGTTCTGCTCAGGTTGCAACCAGGGCTCCAGAACGGATCCTGTTCGCAACCAGAGGTACCACTGTATTGCTTAATAAATTACTTAAATGCCACACCTCATAGCCTCAGCTTCCAGCTTTACTCTGCTCTTTGAGAGTGCACATATTTTCGGTTATGTGTTGCTGCTGCTCAACGGGACTGAAGAGTTATGACCGTCCTGTGCTGCATTCCAGAGGAAGACGCCTGGAGATGTTTGTCTCGATCTGGGGGCTGTGCGGTGCCCCCTCCCGGCACTTCCGACAACCCCAGTGGCTGGTCCATGCGCAAACACGCTGGCCAGTGGCCTCCCCACTTCACCAGCTGAAGTTTGGCTGGTGTGAAAAGGGGCCCCATGTACTGGACCCCTCTCATGTGGAAGATCACTCTCCCCATTCATGGTAAAGGGCCTTTTTTGCTTTACCTGCTTTTTAAGTATCTATGCCACACAATGCAGAGATGCGAGGCGCCTCTGAGACCACCACCCCTCCCCGCAAAGGAGCTGGAAGCCAAGTCTTACGATGAACAGATGAGGGAGTTGGGGGGGTTCAGTCTGGAGAAGACTGGCCCATGTAGGACCAGTCTGGATAGTTGGCCTTGGTGAAGACTTGACGTTCTCATCCCCCCAAAAGTTTTTGAGTTCCTACTGAAATGAGGCCGCATTTTAATGTTGTATTTTAATCTTGCTTTTAAGTTGTATTTCAATCAATTGTTTTTATATCTGGTGTTAGCCACCTTGAGCCCGGTCTTGGCTGGGGAGGGTGGGGTATAAATAAAATTTATTATTATTATTATTATTATTATTATTATT